CTCTCTCTCTCTCTCTCTCACACACACACACACACACACACACACACACACACACACACACACACACACACACACACACACGCACACACACACATATTAACCGCACGTTCATTGAACCCGGGTTCAGCGTTCAGTTATTGAACGATTTGAATGCGCATTTACACTCTGAACAGCTCTGCGGCGGGGTTGAAACGCCGCGGGGAGGGGGCGGTGGGGGTTGCTTGGCACAGAAAGGTGTTGTAGGGGGTGAAGAAGGGATGCGGGCACCCCCCTCCATCACTGTTAAGGGGGGGAAAGAAGGAAAAGAAGAGAAAAAAAAAAAAGAAAAAAAAAAGAGAATAAAAAACGGAACCAAAAACTTACCTCCGTGGCTGTGTGCGCTTGTGTGTGTGTGTGTGTGTGTGTGTGTGTGTGTGTGTGTGTGTGTGTGTGTGTGTGTGTGTGTGTGTGTGTGTGTGTGTGTGTGTGTGTCTGTGTGTCTGTGTGTGTGTGTGTTTGTGTGTGTGTGTGTGTGTGTGTGTGTGTGTGTGTGTGTGTGTGTGTGTGTGTGTCAGCCTGATGCACTGTGTGTGTGTGTATTGTCATACTTGCCCTACACACTGTGTCTGTGTGTGTGTGAGTTGTGATATTCGCTATACACTCAAAAAAAGCATGACTGTGTCAGACTGTTTAGTTGGACTCTCACCGACTCGTCAGTGTGTGAGCGCGCGTGCGCACACACACATACACTCACACACACGGACACACCAAACACATAAACACACACACACACACACACACACACACACATACACACACCCACACACCAACACGATTTTATTTATTTTTGTTTTGTTTTTTCGAATTGCCACACACACACACACACACACACACACATGGACACACCAAACACACACCCACACACCCACACACCCACACACCCACACACCCACACGATATATATTTTGTTTTGTTTGTTTTTTCGAATTGCTCGCGCCCGCTGGTGGCTTCCTAAGCTTGCATGCCAGCTGGCAGTTTGGGCCACTCCATTGCCACGTGGTGCGTTTGAACGCGCTCACCTCTTCGTTTTTCTTTTTATTTTGGTAAATTCCTTTGCTTCCTTTCTTCTCACTTTAACACTGTAGATAATAGGGTGGCACAAGGACTCCGAGAGGTTTCCCTGCCCTTTTTTTCGTAATTATTAATTAGTATTCATTGTTTTTATGTTTTTTTTCTCGTCAGTTTTTTCCTGTCTAGGACTTCTCTTCTGGTAGAGATTCCTGATCTCATCCAGAGGTCGAAAACAGAGGAAGCGACGGAGGGGACACATGGTCTCCACCGTACTACGCCTGGAGCAAGATTCTGTTACGAGGGCTGTTTTTTTTTTGTTTTTTTTTTTTGGGTTCCCCAGGTAAAGAGATTTTCTGTTCCTGGTGCCATTGATCTTTCTCTTTTTTCTCATTTTTTTCTCATTTTCTTCTCATTTTTGTCTCATTTTTGTCTCATTTTTGTCTCATTTTTGTCTCCTTTTTTCTCCTTTTTTTTTTTCTCATTTTTTTCTCATTTTCCACTCCTCTCCACTGATATTCGTAATCTACGGTCATAAAAGAAGGATCCCAGTAGTAACTGGGACGTCGCTGCGGACAACTGCAGCAAACAAGGAACTTTTTTATTTTTTTATTTTTTTATTTATCCCCATCTAATTCCAGCCATGCTATCCGGTGGGGTAGGAGCACACCCAGATATCATGGGAAGGACAGAGTGTGCCTCCTTTCTATTGGTAGGATCGTGTGTTTTTTTGTCCTCTTTCTTCTTTTCTTCGCTTTTTTTTTCCTTCTCCGAAGTGTATGGCTGCAAGCCTGTAAGTATTTGTTTTCACAGACAGGACTTGAACCCCTGTCGTTTCGATTGGAATTTACTAATTCAATAGTTTTTTTTTTTTTTTTCTAATTCAATAGTTACAGGTAGGTAAGGTAAGGTTCATTCACCATGATCATGAACTAGTACGGATTGCAGCAACGATAGGAATTTACTAATTGAATAGTTACAGGTCGGGGAGGTTAGGTTCATTCACCATGATCATGAACCTAGTCCGGAGGGGCGGTAAGGTGTAGAGTCAGGTTGTGATCACAGCAGTTGCTGTTGCTGTTTTTCTGCTGTCTACGATGCGTGTTTTTGCGCACATATGTGTACATGCTCTCATTTYWTTKYTTYWTTYWWTTTGYTGCTACGTCGTGACCGTTKTKTTTKTCAAAATTTTYGAGKTTTTTTTTTTTTTTTTTTTTTTTTTTTTTTGGAGGTAAATCAATTGGTTKTGTTGGGAGTTTGTTYTTWTCTGTACCAAAAAAAAAAACAAAACGATCTCATTCCTTGTACGTTCCCTTTTGCTGTAATTTGCAGCCTTTTTTTTTTTTTTTTTCACTAAAATTTTACAATTTAAGCCTCGAATTATTTCAGACAACTCTCAAAGGGCCAAGTGAAATACCCCATCGGACCGATCCAAGTTCCAGAAATCTACCAAATATCTAACTGAAGGAACAAACTCAATGGCTGCGAAAAGCTGGGAAGAAAAATAAGCCTTAGGGTTACCCTCTCATCATCACTACCCAATCACACTGTAAAGAGCCTTTGTTGCCTGGACGGGTTTCCCACCACGCACCCAGTGGAGACAACTCTAGTTTGCTCTTCACAGAGTCTCTCATATCATCCCCACCCTGGGAGTTTTTCACCCTAAGCCACTGCACTCGAACCCCAGCGGATTACAGACTATCTGATTCTAGAATGTTAAGGGACGCTGGACCCGGTTTCCAGCAGGTGCTGCTCCCCACCAATAGACGGAGCCGGCCCGAGCATGCTAGTGGTGTCTGCTCTTATCAGCACCCCTAGCATTTTGCGTCTACTTTCAATTCTAATTTGCTGGATTGATCGATGCTGAGGCTTTCTTTTACGTATGTATTGTATGGTCGGTCTTGTGAAGTTCAAACTCTTACAGTGGGTAGAACGCAAACTAAGATAAGCGATTGATTAMAWAAWCGAGMAAARAARGAAMRAAAAAAAAAAAAAAAAAAAAAAAAAAAACCGTCGAAAAACTAAGAACGAACATATAGTTATTACCTATAAGCTTCAAAGATCAGGAGCTGGGCAAGAAGAGTGAGCTGTAGGATTACCCTCCCATCGTCACTGTCGAATCAATCTGTGAAGAGCCTTTGGTGCCTAGACGGGTTTCCCACCACGCACCCAATGGATAGAACTCTAGTTTGCTCTTCCCCGGGTCTCTTGTTTCGTCCAACCAATGGTGTTCCCACTGCAGCTCCCTCGTGCTAACTACTCTTATAATAATTACAATCGACTAACGCTCCTACCACTGACGATGGCACTCACACTGCCTCCGTAGTGCCGCTGTCGATAGAAGAATGAGCTGTAGGGACACCTTTCTTCTCATCATCACTGTCCAGAACACTGTAAAGAGCCTTTGTTGCCTAGACGGGTTTCCCACCATGCACCCAATGGATACGACTCTAGTTTGCTCTTCACCGGGTCTCTCATTTCATCCAACCATTGGTGTTCCCACTGCTCCTTTGTACCGACTACTCTTATAATAACTACAAAGTGAGCCAACTTATCAAGAGGCAAAAATACCTAAAACAATTATCCCTCTCTCTCAGTCCTAAATTACTTCAACAACAATGCGTGTTTCTAGAAACGAAACACTTAGGGCAACCTCCTTGCCAAAACAAGGACAGTGTCCTTCAGGACATCTGTTAAAATTGGAACGATACAGAGAAGAGTAGCATGGCCCCTGCGCAAGGATGACACAACATAAATCGAGAAGTGGTCCAAATTAAATAAAAAAAAAACAAAAAAAAACAAAAAACAAGGACAGTAAGAATTTCACTTCTCGAGGGAATCAAGAGACAACAGACAACAAAGGGATCACAGAAATGCAAAATACTAAAATACCACAGACTAACCTTGAAAACAGCTGAGAAAAAAGAAAACAGCTAAAAAAGGAGAGCTGAAATTTTCTCAACCTTTTAACTGAATCTGACCAACAGGTGCAACCAGGATCAGAGAGCTGAAATTGTAAGACAACAATGACTTGTACCGGAGAGAATCCTAGCCTAAAATACGAACAGAAGAGTCCAGGTTGAAATTAAACCCACAGAGGGAATCGAATTGAGTGAGAAAAGGAAGAATTGCAAACGAATCATGGAAAAAATGCACATATTAGGATATAAAAGACAAACAGGCGGGATCAATCCAGTACCTCGGCGTTGAGGCAATCCCTCGACTCGATATGTGAACGGATGACCTGCTAAATTACTGAAACTAACCTAAACTATGCCTGTATGCCAAGGAGATGTCTAGAACTGAAGTCCTTGGACATGCCCAAGCGCTGCCACGGCAGCCACACGCTCTCCCACTGCGTCCAGATGTGCCGCTCCGCATTCCAAGCTTCTCCTATTGACCGAGGCAGTCGACGCTCCGCACGAATAGAAGGAGCCTCCCTCTCCGGTGCTAGCGCTGTCTGCTCTTATCAGCAGCACTAGCACAGGAAGCGAGTTAAAAAACAAACAAAAAAAAAAAAAAAAAAAAAAAAAAAAAAAAAAAAAGAGATGGCGAATCGTGAAGGTCCAGCGCAGGGCCTATTGGATGGTGAAAGAGAAGCCCCCCCCTTTCCAGCAAAGGGCTTGAGGGGAGGATGGCCCCTCCGGTGTCTAGA